TTAGACGTCTCTCTAACGTAATGTTGGTAATTTCTGCTCACCGTGATAAAGAGCAAGCTTATTTAAGAGTTTACTTTAGTTTTTACAGGTTTTTTACAGTATTGCCGCCCGCCATGTGGAAAATGTTCACATGTAAATAATCTTGTGACTAAATTAAGGTGTTCAGCAGGCTGGTCTCACAATGGAGACTACAACTGTAGCATTCCGTGAGTATAATTAAATGTACTCATCTTACTCATTTAAAAAGTTGTCAAGTTGGATTTAGTTTTTTTCCTTCTAAAATTATTTTTACCAACATTTAGGCGGACTTTTATATAACTGCAGTATTAGTTAGCAAATCAACGTAAAATATATATCATATTATCTTTAAAAAAACTCAGTTCATGCGTTATCGAGTATGGCTTAGTTAATAGATTGGAGATCCTGTATGTTGAAATAAAGTTTGTTACCACACTTAAGGGAACCTTTATATATGTATAATATTATGCTTTTTGAAAACAATTTTTAAACATCGAAGACTATGTAAAATATGTAATGCAAATGTTTGCCCACATTATATATAGTCATTAAATTATATGCATTAATTTCTTATTGAACATTTTGACTTGGACTTGACAGAAAATAAATTTCTGAGACACAGGCAAAATTTTCATTTCTTAGTTTTGAAATTTCCATTCATTATTCTGTAAATGTCATCAAAATAAATACACTAAACAGTCAAAGGAACAAAACTTTTCTTCATATAAAGAATAAAATGGTGTTTTCCTAACTTGACCCGCGTGGGTCAGGTTAGAGCGCTAAAATTTCACAATAGTTGTCACTCTTGTACTCTGGAAACGTTAAAAACATGTCAAATCAATTACTTAGACTTGTTTCAATCAAACAATATCCACAATACCTGTTATTGTAACTTCCAGGGTTTGTTCAAATCGCATGACTTGTTTTTAAACTATTCGGTGATTCTGTTCGCGTCAAAATTTCGTTCAACATATATAGATATATTTAAACTTCAAACCCAAAATATATAGAATTTATACAGAAATTTATGCTGGGACTTTAAGAAATGTCATTTTAGGGTGATTTGAGTATAGAAAATCATTTTTATATTTTTGTCATTATTTTGCCTGAGTATCCCTTTAACATGAAATGCAAATTCGGTAACATCTTTACAAAATATGCGTTTTGGAACTTACAATAATGATAAATCTTCATTATGAGCATATATTTATAATATAAAACCATAAAAAATTAGTTACAGGATCTTAAAACTCCATTTGTAGTTTTCACTTATCGTTTTATTCTTCAAGTAAGAAAAGTTCGTTAGGATGCTAAATCTTTCACCAAGAAGGAGGTTACATCATTTGTATGTCATTCAATGTTTTAACTGTACTTAATTTCTACAGTTTTTACGGGATTATATGGCCAATCCCAAGATTTTCATTTAAAATCGAATCAAACATCATTCTGCATTATTGGCAATTGGATATATGCACGTGTCTCTATGTATCTGCGTGCGCGAGAGTGCGTGTATGTGCGCACGTGTGTGTGAGCGTGCATAGGCGGAGGATCGTTCCTCATTTAAATTAATCACAGATTAAACCTAACATTAAAGAAACATCTTGACTGATTTTAGGAAGAACGTGATTTTGCTGTTCCCGTTCCCCTGTCAGAACATAGAATATTTGCCATTATAAACCCTGTTATCTTTTTTCAGCAATATGTAAACCGAACTGCGGATCCGTTGGGGAGTGTGTGGCTCCAGTTAAATGTGATTGTAAAGGTCTGGCAGAAGGTCAATTTTGTCAGGAGTGTAAGTTATCAAGTTGCTTATCTTAATGAATCGTACGATTATAGAGCTGCATGTGTATAGAAAATAATGATAAATATGACAAAATTATTTACAAATAAAAATTAGAAGTCATATTTTCCTAAGTTTGATGAAAACGATTGTCCAAATTAAAGAAGTCTGTTTACGTTTTGGCGTAGGCAATATTGCAAAGGAATGGATGATTATGCATTTACGGTATTTAAACGGAATATGTAAGTGATGGGTTATAGAAAGTTGAACATTGAAGAGTTATAAGAAGTATAAAAGAGTAAATTATTCATTTATAATATATGATTAAATGTTTAAACTTGTAACTGTGAAAAAGAGTTCTCCTTACATTGAGATAATTTGTTGACTTTTTATTTATGCTTGCTATTATTTTAGTCTCTGAATGTGATATTCGTTTTTATATGCCCGAAAGAATTTCGGACAATATATGTTATACCCCTAGCGTCTGTCCGTCCGTCTGTCTGTCTGTCCGTCCGTTAGCAATTTGGTTTCTGAAGCAAAACTTAAGTTCCATTTAGCCCATAGTGTTCAAACTTCATAGGATGATTGTCAGTATTGAGACGAAGACCCCTATTAAGTTTTGGGTCACAAGGTCAAAGGTCAGGGTCACAGTGACCTTAACACTGATAATTGTGGTTTCTGGAGCATAACACAAGTTCCATTTGGCTTACAGTGTTCAAACTTCAAAGGATGATTGCCTATATTGAATAAAAGATCCATATCTATATTGGGGTCACAAGGTCAAAATGTCAATATCAAATGACCTTAATATTGTAAACAATTTTACAGCTGTTAACCTTCATATGATGATCACTTATATTGAGTACATTAATTATATGCCCTAAAAATTTGCTTATATTATGTTATGCCCCTGGCGTCTTTGCGTCCATCCGTCGTAGCATTTTTACTTACAAGAATTTGATGGTAGTGCCTTTGAAACAGCAACTGTATATATATTGATGAAGGTACTTCAGCTATAAAGGATGATTGCTTTTAGAAGGAGGTAATACTTTATTTCAATGTGTTTATGTATCAATTTCATTTTTTTTGTATACATTGTATTTCCTTCATAAATGGTTACAATGAAAGATGGCTGTTTTACAGAAGTCACAATCACATTTGTTTATTTATCCAAGACTTTTCGGGCATATAATGTTCCACGTAGCGGTGTTCTTCTATACATGTATGTATCGATAACATTGCATTTGAAAAAAAAAGTTTAAGTTTTATATCTTTTTTTATTTCAATTCATGAATGTTTGATTTTGTCTCGCTCAATTGTGTAATTTTTTCTTGTTTTTGTATTAATTTTATTGAAATACCTAATAATAAAGTTTACATTTTTCACATGGTGTTTTGTGCATAACCAATCCATGTTTCATGTCGCATATTTACAGCAAAAGAACTATCATAACACACTTTTCATTTTCCGTGAAATACCTGGAAAACGTTACTTTTAGCCTTTAATCCATAATATTCAAGCATCCGAAATTTTCGTTCGTACATATCATGAAAACAAATTAACAATATTTCTTATTTGATCTTTTGTATAAGTTATCCCTCTTTTTTAAAAATCCAAGTGACAGTTGGAGGAATAAATTCTATTTAGAAACCACAACATGTTATTAGAATAAAGTGCCTCTATCTTTGAAAACTGTTCACAATTATTGTATTGATTTGTATGATTGTAGCATTGACAGAATCACAGAATTGGACGGGGTGAGTTGTTGATGATAATTTCAATATAATATCTAACTCATGACTTCATGTTTATAGCTTATATAAGAGTTTCATTATTTTATGTTTAATTTTACATTCTTAGCTGCGGGCCATGGCTTTTGAAATAATTCTATTGATATGTTTAATTTGACATTTTTAGCGGATGGCCGTGTCTTTTGAAATAATTTTGCATATGCTTAATTTGACATTCTTATAAAGCGATTGACCGTCTCTTTCGTATAAACCATATTTATTATACTCTAATTCTTCTTTTCTATTTTTTTTCTTTAACAATTTTTACTTTAACATGAGAAAAAAGGATGATCTACATCAAAATGTTAACGTTGTCGCGCTGTCGTATTGTCGTCCTGTCTCTAAAGCGGTACGCCAACGGCGCGTTGTCGTGCGGCGCGTTGTGTCGCTTGGCTTATATGCCAATCCTTCAATTTGAACCATGCGACAATGTGACATCGCGACAACACGCCGTTTGGCATGCCGCGCTAGAGGCAGGACGACAGCGCGACAACGTGCCGTTTGGCGTTTTGTCGTGTTGTCACTAGCGCCAACGCAACGCACAAAAGCGTACCAAATCAGCTACCATACTTTTGTGCTTCATATTGTCGCTAACGTCAGTTCGACAAAGCACCAAGCCAAACGGCGCGTTGTCGGACTTTCTTCTTGTCGTCCTGTCGCAAACGATGCAAGCCAAATGACGCATTGTCGTGTGGCGTATTGTCGCGATGTCACATTGTCGCTCGGCTCAAATCGAAGGATTGCCGACATTGCGACAGCGCGCCGCAAGACAACGCGCCGTTTGGCGTGCTTCGCTATCGACAGACGGACGACAAAACAACAGTGCGACAACGCGCCATTTGGCGCGTTTCGTTAGCGACAAGACGAAAAGGCGATAACAATAAAGGTTGTGGACGAGGGGTTAGAGTCGATGACTTCTAATCCAGTTACCTCTCTTGCGTGGGTTCGATCCCCGGGAGATGCTTTGGTAGTTTAGCGCGGAGGAAGGTAGTCTAGTACCGGTGTAACTCTCCAGGAACGATGGTTAGTTAACTACCCGCCTTTATGACTGAAATACTGTTGGAAAAAGGCGTAAAATGAAACAAACAAACAAAGAAACAATAAAGGTTGTGTTGTTGCCATCGACAACGCAACGCGCAATGTGTTCCAAATCAGCAACCGTAGGCAGTGGATATTTTGTTTATACAAACACTCCAGTTGCCTGCGTACCGACCGCATCTGGGGAAGATGTTTAATATGCCCTTGCATAATGCTGCAAGTTTAAAGGTAGCATAATTATCAAAGATTTATTGATATTTAGTAATCTTCAGTTCTATTATTAACGAAGTAATCATACATATTTACGTTATATTATATTTCATAAAGTTTCGTTGTTTTTTGTGTGTTTTCGGTTCATGACATACGAAAAAAAAATCTAATGTCTTATCAAGTAGATAAAAGGAACGTTCACTACTTGCCATTTTATACATAAAAATGTAGCACCAGTTTGAAACTCTTGCATATATCTCTATATACTTTAAAGCGGCCTTCAGCATTTCTACAGAGTAAGTATGTTATTTTAAGGTCAATCATTTCATATAATTGTCAAATCAAAAGAATTACGGTATAAATTGAAATTTGTCGCCCATGAAATACATAAGCAATAAGAAAACGCATAGGAACCTTTAATGTATGTATGTAAATTAGTAAATCTTGTGTGTCACTGCGCGCTATAAATAGATCTCGGGTGCTGTTTTGAACAAGGATTAACAGTGATTGTATGCACTTCTTCTAAGTAATATTACTAAAATACTTAGTTTGAGATAGCATAGGGTCGTTTTCAAACAACAAATAAAAGATAAAGGGTGCTCTAAGATGTTCCAACATTTCAAACAAGTTTAGCAGATATCAACTATATAAAATCCGTTTATTTCTAGACTTTGTCCATATTTCATACCTGTGCTTTTATACTCAACTATATTGAAACATTATACACCAATCTACGAGCTGTAGTTTGGATTTTAAAACTCAAAATTTAATAGTTCTGTACTCAATAGTGTCGTACACAATATACAACAAATTCAACAAATTATTTTCAGGTTTTATATTTTACCTTGACCAGAGACTTTGTTATGAAGCTTTTTGTAAAATTCTAGTAGAAAAATAAATGTTGATAATATATACGCAGGTTTAATGGTTCAGGTAATAAATACAATATATTGATTTTATTGCTATCAGTATTTTGATTTAGTATGATATGCAAAAAAAATAAGTTTTTTTTTCGTTCTTAACTTACAGCAACACAGAATCTTATAAAGTATGGAAGGCAGAAACATGTAGAAAATGTATTGCCCAGTATCGATGGTAAAAACCTTATACATTTGTATTAATTAATTACATTGTTTACTTTGTACATGTATATACAGATATACATGATCATATATATGTATATACCAGATGTACAAATATGTTATGACACCTGTTACGGCGAGAGTGATGACAGATTGCCGCAGCAATCAAAGAAATCTAAAATTTAGTCAGTTTATAATAATGATGATAATAGCATACTCACCATATTTATAACCTACTTGTAGACGTCTCTCTAACGTAAATGTTAGTATTTCTGCTCACCGTGTAAAGGGCAAGCTTATTTAAAGAGTTTACTTCAGTTTTACAAGGTTCATTTACAGGTATTGCGATCGGTGGAGAATTGTCACATGTAATAGACATGTGACTAAATTAAGGTGTACAACAGGCTGGACTCACAATGGAGACTACAACTGTAGCATCCGTGAGTATAATTATAAGTCATCTACTCATTAAAAGTTTCAAGTTGGATTTAGTTTTTATTTCTTCTAAATTATTTTTAGCAACTATTTATATAACTGCACGTAATAATAATATGTACGAATATTTTATACATTAGGGTTGAATATATAAATCAAACACGGAAATATGTTTTAACAATTGAGCCGTGTTACGACAAAACCAACATAGTGCGTTTGCGACCAGCATGGATCCAGACCAGCCTGCGCTTCCGCTCAGTCTGATCAGGATCCATTCTGTTCGCTATCAATTTCTCCTCTTATAATAAAGTTAGTAAGCGAACAGCATGGATCCTGATCAGACTGCACGGATGCGCAGGCTGGTCTGGATCCATGCTGGTTGCAAACGCACTATGTTTGTTTTGTCGTGACACGGCTCATTTGTCATTGAAGGATTATCCCAAACGATTACTTATACAGTTATACTGTTTACATGTTTTATTTTATTTATGTTGTTTTATCAGAACGAATCAAACTCAGTGATTTTGAGCTCACGCTATTCATGTTCGTGAAGTGAGCCAGACTGTCGGAACAGCCTGAACAGCCTGAACAGCCGGAACACATTTTTGTTTTAGATCGGCTGTTCCGGCTACTCCGGCTAACCGGAGTCCGGTTCCTACTGAACAGGCTAGCCAGAGAAGATACAATTAAACATGTTCAAACGACCATTGGTTAATTCAACAATGTAGTTTCAAATTACTTATCACCTCATCTCTGGCTATTCCGGTTAGCTTGAAAAACCGACGACATATTTAAGACCATGTGTGTCGGCTTTT